GTGCCGCCGTGCTCGCGGGGTGTCAGCAGCCGCATTCCAGCCGGGTTATTTTCTCCACCCCGCGTTGCTCAAGTGCAAACGGGGAAGACAGCGGAGTTACCCCGGGCAGAACATGAGCCATCGTGAGAAGCAGGTGGGGCAAGAGGGAGCTCAAAACGCTCCAGGCCACAGGGAGCTCAAAAAGTGGGGAATCCCCCGGGGAGATCCCATGGACAACTCAGGTCCCTTCTCCCAAACGAGCGAAGCGTGGCACTCGGACCCTTGTAATAAATCCCAGGGATCCTTGCCCCCGTCTCAGGAGCCAGCAGCACTTCTTCCTTCTTGAAGCCTTCTCTTTTTCTCCCCCCTCGGGTCTCCCTTCTCCCCTTGCGTAACTCCCTGCCTGCTCCCGGCCTCGGCTGGGCACGCAGCAGCCGCGGCCCCCCCTGCCGATGCCACCCACCCGCTTGGGCATGGCAGCGGCGCCAGCTCAGCCCAGCAAACCCACCCGGAGCCGTTCGGCAGGGTGACAAGTGCCAGGAGGGGTCTGCGGTCAGCCCCCTGCTGCAGATGCCAGGAGCTGGCAGTGCCCTGAGGTTGCATTTGGAAGGTTTCTCTTTACCAGGGGGTCTTCAGTGTATCTTTTTTATCTCCTCTTTCCTTAAAATCACCCACCCAGCTCAGGTTTTCAGCGCAGCAGGAGTTGAGGAGCTGAACCTCACTGTTTGCCAGGCTGGTACCGAGCGGGTGGGTTTTCCCAGCTCCGCTGATGGAAGTTTGAGAACACACTGGGAACGAGAGGCCCCTTCTGTTTAACTCCTGGTTCTCCTACTCCTCCTCTGCGCCACGGCGCGAGTGGGCAAGCTTGAGCAGAAACCCAGCCGCTCCTCTCTGCTCTTTTGATTTGCATTTGGGGTTTTGTTTTGCTTTGTGGGTTGTTCTTTTTTTTCCCCCAGAGAAAAAAAAAAGTGAGATATCAAGTGGGGAAAAAATAAAAGAAAGTGGGCTGAGATGTAAAGAACATGGTGGTAACGTCTCCGAGTTGTACTTTGATGACGGCTGGTGTCAAACGCGGCGTGGGCAGGGAGACGGGGACACGGAGAAACATCAAATAAACACGGCTTGGGAACATATGGGCTAAGGGCTTGGGGTCGGGGGGGGACACGGTGGGGAGCATCTCCACCCCTGGGGCTCAGCAGCCCAAGGAGATGGAGCCATCAAGAGGGGCTGGCTCGGACCCTGGGTAACGGGGAGAAACCCCCCCAGCGGCGCCAGAGAGTGGGCCGGGAGGGAACGGAGCGCGGGCAAGCGTGTCGGGTGGCTGGGCACCGAAACAGGCCCCAGCCAGAGCAGGGCTGGGATGGCACCCGCTGCTTCGGAGCACCTCAGGGCTGGAAAGCACAGGGACACATAGGAGGTTTGTCCATCAGCGCTAAGGGGGGGCTGAAGGCAGATAAAGTTATGCAGAAAGGTTGAAGTGCTCGCCGTGCCTCTGCTGCTTCAGCCACGGCCGGTGTCGGGTACCAGCCAGGAGCATCCCTGGGGGTAAGGAGAGGGGGGATGTGGGTCAGGTGCTAAAAAATGGGGTGAGAGCAAGGAAAAAAAGAAAGAACCAAATGAAATATCAGGCAGCACTTCCTTGGGTGGGCATTAACAGGCGTGGGCAAGGACACGTGTGTGCCCTTTCAGCATCAAACGAGTCCCGGGATTAAACATGCAGCTGGAAGGTGCCACAGTGGATATGAGCAGGGAAAACATCCCAGATTTTCTTGGGGAGATAAGGAGAGGGGACAGCCTGAACCGTTGCAGAGGAGGACTTACAAGTGGTTCCCCAGCATGTTCCTCTTCGTGGCGCCCAGGAAGCTCATCAGGCCGGGATCCGAATGCTCGTCTCCCACCATGGTGGGGCCAACCTCCTGCAGGGAAAGGCAGCGGAGCAGGTGAGTGATGGGTGGCAGCACGGTCCCCCCTCCCTGGCACAGCTCCAGTAGGAGCTTTCCTGGGAAGGGAATTATCCTGAGCCGCCTGCCCGTCCCAGGAGAGGAACTCCTGGAGGGCCACCTCCTGGCTGAGCTCACAGTGGCTCCAGTCCTCTGGGATCCACTGCTGGGAAGCCCTTAGGACAGCGATGAGGTGCCACCCACAGCCTCATGGTGCAAAACCAGCAAATCTCTGTGTTTTACCACGAAATGAGCATCCCCAGGCCAGTTAGGGAGCGTTTGCCTCTCCTGGTAGAAGACGGCTTTGGGAATGGCTCCACTAACTGGGAAGGGTGAGAAGATGGGGGTGAGGACGTGCCACAGAGGGATGGAGGCAGATGAGTCCCCATGGGGTGACGAGGGATGGTCACACTCCCCTGGAAGTGGCAGGAGACTGGAGGAGCTGGGGGAAGGCAGCCAGAGACATGAGTCATCTCAGCACCGGAGCCCCTGGGTGGGCTTCCCACCCGTCACATGGGGGGGACAGGGACACTGCTGCACAGCGCTCCAAAAGTCTTGTTTTGCGAGCTTCCTGGGCTGGAGGTTTTCCAGAACTAAGTCTCAGGGCACGGCAGGGAACGACAGCACCAGTGCGACCTCAGCAACGATCGCCCGCTCCCAACCCACGGCTGGCAGAGCTGGGGAGGGCAGCACCCCTCTGCCCGGCGGCACCGAGGCTGGAAGAGCCGGGAAACGCAGCCATGAACACTGTCCATAGCTCCGAGGGCTGGTGAGCGGGAGAGACGTGGCACCCACCTCCGCGGCAGGACCCGCAGCCCACCCCTCCCTGCTCGGCGCTGATGGGGCGTCCGTGCGCCGAAGCCTCCCCCTGCACACGCCAGGCTCTCCCTGGAAATAGCAGGGTTTAACGGATTTTAGCAGATGGAACAACTGTTTCCTTTTAAATCTCCTCCACGCTGCTTATGAAAGGTTTGCAGGTGATGTTCTTCCAAAGGATGCCCCCTGCCCACTGGCAAACCTCCATCACGCTATTATCAATGCTTCGTAATACACCAAGGGCCGCTCAACCCCAAATAACCGCAGAAATATTTGAAGTGCCACTCAGGCCCTTTTTGACCCCTCTTTTCTCCATCACCCCTCG